AGGTGCTGATGTTTTCTTCTCGTCATGACAGAGTCCACAGGAATCACTATCTACCGCACCTATATTCTTCATGTGTCTACAGTGTCCTGTAAAAAGTTCAATGTAGAGTTTAATATCGTTTCTGATAAGACAATGATAGCGTCAACTTTGATGTGTTCAGGATCAATGAATCTTCTTGTCTGCCGCATGCCTGTTTAGATTATAGGGCAATTATATTCAAATCTGAACCGATTAATATCATATTTACTACTAATTTCTCTTTTATATCAGTTACTAAAATTTCATGATTTGGTATATTGTTTGAAGAATCCGTTTTTGAAATGTTAGGAGTGTTTTTATAAAAGGCACTTGTTATATGTGCGACTCTATGATACCGCATATCTTCATAAGTACTAAAAATAGACGCTTTAAAGTTAATTACGTTGCCGTAAGATACTCTGAATGTATGCATATATAAATTATTTAAAATATTAACTAAAAGAATTTCAGTATATTAACTATTACTATTACACGTGGAAATTTCTAAAACTTACTATTATCATTTCTTTTCATATCTCTGATTAAAAATTTCATTAAAGTTTTTATAATTCCCTCACAACAACTGCAAAGTGTTTATAATAATCAAAATATTTCATACAACTCGAATTATAAAATTCACATTATTCTAAGTATGAAATAAAAAATAATGATTTTAATAAAACTGCAACACATCCGCATTTTGTACAATTAAACAAACAACTGTCAACAAACCCGGCATCCATGCTGGAACTGCTGGGACTCGAGCACTGCAAAAAACCTGATAAAATAAGTATCTCAGTTTCGTATTTTATATTATAAAAGTGCAGTCGTGCGTTCGGTGCATTTAAGTCGATTTAAGCGTAACCCTTATTCAAATATTTTTATTTTAATTTTTATTTTTATTTTTTACATTATTTTATTTTGTTTTATTTTTAAATAAGAGTTTAAGCCAGTATAATATGAGTTTTCATGGTAAAGCATTTATGTGTGAATTTTTGTCATACGCTACAAATATTCATAAATTTATGTATTTACGAGTATGCGTGTGGCAATACTAATTTTGACAACATTGATGCTGATGCAGATGCAGATGTTGTAGCTGAAATTGATACAGATACAGATACAGATAGAGATACTGGCACGGATACGAATGCAACTACTCCAACTCCTGCACTTGGGCATTATTAAAATGTAACACCGGTCATGAACATAACTTTAAATTAAATTTTGTTGTAACTGAAATGTGTGCAGATTTGTGCAAAACTCTTCTCGGGTATGAGCACATCTGCTCATACGTCGTGTTTATCGGATTCCCCATTATTTAATTGTGTAAAATGTAATATTCAGTTCGAATATTAAAATTAATGCAAATATGAATATTGTCACCATATTTTTTGTATAATTTTAAAAAATTGTTGAGAGTTGAATAAACTATGAAAAATGTTTTTTTATCATTTATGTATGTGTTTTGTGGTTTTTGCCAGATGTGATACAATTTTTTATAAGATATAACATTGTTTAATGGAAAGTATCACTACCTGTATTAAAGTTATGTGAAAAAATGTTATTTTTTTACAATGCGAGAAATCTATAAAAACAATGAATTGCGATTAAAACTATCATGGAAATTTTTTCTTAAATATATTTACCTGTTGTAATCAAACAGAAAAAAAAGTAATAGAACCACATCATTTCCATATAATTTTCTGTGTTTCTCTGTCTTTACAAAAGAATATGCATTCTGAAATATTAAATGAAACATCAAATAGGATTACTGGGTAATAAAAAGAAACACAACAATATAGAAAGTTATAGTGCTATCAATGAGTAAACCATGCGAATGATTTTTTCTAAATATCAAGCTAAAAATTGATAACAAAAAAGATGAAATATAAGTATGACAATAGCCCATTGCTTATACTAAAGAGGAACGATCTTCATGAAGCTTACAGTACAAAATATGCAAGAAAAAGTGTTGAAAGTAATTGAGAGTGATGTTGCAAAAGAATTTTAATCATATTGATTATTATTTTATTAAATTTTTGTGAAAATATTTTTTGGATTTGATTTTTGAATTCAGTACTGAAAATCAAGAAAGAATGTGTGATCAGAATTAAATCTACTTTTAAAAAAAGTAAAGTAGTTTTATTTTCTCTCTTTCAGCACTGTATCATTATTTATTTATTACCATATTTAATTTTAATATGCTTATTTAATACATGTTTAAATTTTATATAAAAATGTAAAGCCACTAAAACAGTATTTCGGTTTTTACGTTCAAGCACATGATTATTCACATTATATTTAATTATATTTTATCAAAAAAATATTTAATTTAAATTAAAATATAAATTTAAAAATATTAATATTGTTTTTTTTCAAGTAATAAATAAAGAAATGTAAAGCCTACGAAATAATTATAAACAATTATAACACAATAAATACTGTTTTTTATTAAACTGTTTATTATTAAATTATGATTAATTAAATTTAATCATAACCAACATTGAAGGAAAGCAATAAAGTAAAAAAAAGAAAGTAAACAATGACTTACCCACCACGCGGGTTTCAAATAAATTCACCACAGAAATAAAAACAAATTATTTGAGTAAAGCTTTTATAAGAATATGCGAAAAAATAAATCACAACAAATATTAAATTTGTGGTGATGCTTAAAATCAAAACGATGTTTAATTGAACTAATTAAAAAATAGTTATAATAATAATATTAATAAATTATAGGCATTTATTATTTTTGACTTGTTAAAAAGAAGCTGCGAATAAAAGCTTTCACTTCTTATTTTTAATCACATTTGCGGTATTATATGCAGTAAATTCAATAAAAACAATTCAACTTTATGATTTTGTTTTGAAAAATTTATTAATTACCTAGGTTAATTAATTTACCGTTATAATCACTATTCAAAAAAACAATAAACAAATCAAATATAAAGCACTTAAAAATTTCAACATTCAACGAGTAACCACCGAGATGTACTGAGACAAATGAAATAATTTCCAATTTTTAAGCAAAAATAATAGCATTAATTGTTTTTGCTTTTAGTCCCTCTTCAAACGCAACTTAAAAAAGTTTATCAGCGCTAAGCTTTTAAATCATATCATCTTTTGAAGATCATGTTGGTTCGGTGGAATAATTTGATTAGGGTTACCAACACACTATTTTTTGTTTATTATCAATGTTTCTTATTTTTAGATTGCTGACATCGTATAGTAAAAGTATATAGGATTAAAATTGTTCGAAACCTATGAAATAATGTATAAGTGGTTTCAATATTTTTATATAAATACTTTAAATACTTTTTTTTATAAATAATTATTTTAATAAATAAATAATATTTTTGAACTTCTTAATGACACACAATAATAGAGGATATTTATATTACAGTAAAATTTGGATTATAGTCATTTTAAGATTGAATCTCTTATAAAATGAAATAAAAAAATGATAAACAAGCACATTCGACAAAATACAAATAAGACTAAACAATTACACCAAACTTATCGGATTAGAACAAATTGCATTAATTTGAATCAACTAATTATTTTAATAATACTTAACTAATTTAACTAATTATCAACTTATTAGTTAATTCATTTAGTTAAACGTTCTTTCTTAGTTTTTGTGAAGGTGAAATGCTTTATGCATCGTAGACCACACCATTTTCTCAATTAAAATGTAGTATACAGACTAAAACATCCTCTCTTCGGAAAAACTTGTTCCCCCAAAACTGCCTTCCCAGTACTTTATAAGTCTAATTCATGTTAGCATTTTAAGCCCTGCCAATTGATGCACGATTTGTGTGCAGACCTCACTTTTTTACCGAATTTTTAAGTTTCTTGTTTATTAACCTTTCTAAATGTAATCTCTTCGCTTTGAAGACTTTAATCACATATGATTCAATCATTCACCAGTTTTCTGGGTTTACTCTTATTTTCCCAATTATATTCTATAATCCGAACTTGTTTCTCTTCTCTTCAATTGTGCCACCTATTACATATATTATGTATATGGAGTAATAATGTTGAATTGATTTAGTATATACAAAAAAAAATAAATTATTATTAATGCTAGAATTTTTTGCCGAAAGTGACGCATCTTATGACAAAAAGAAACTGCTTTAAAGTTGGAAGGGTTCGAATAGAAACGAAAAGATAACAACAAATATTTCAACTAAAATTTTTATTGTCTTTTTATTTCTATTCGAATCCTTCTAAATTATTTTTATTTTAAACAAAAACAGGACAAATAAACTATTTTGAAACAAAAATTAGCAAATAATAGGGGAAGTCTTTTTAAATAATTGATGTGTGTAAGTTTAACTAAATATATTTCAAATTTGGATAAATGCAAGAATAAAATAATAGGTTATATTTCACCATAATTGGTTTAAATACTAATAAATAACCATTTTGCTGCTATTTAGTTTCTTTCATAAACAACTTAATAAATTAATTAATGAATTTATTTGTAGTAGAATATGAAATAATTAATTAGAAAGCTATGATGGTTTTTTTTTGTTAATATTTAAAAACTTAATAGTGACCATCACAATAGTAAGATTTTGATGATTGTTATCTACATTACACTGTGCAATATTTTATTACAACATTTATTCGTATTAAATTTGAAGCTCATATTTAAAATAAATATTTTAGTTAGATTTGGCTACCTTTGGTTTTAGAAAGAACAGAAAGAAAAAAACGGTTAAATGACAGAGTACAATATATGAATGCCTAAAAAACACAGAAATCATTTCTAAATTAGAGCAAGTCATCTACATTCAATTTAATTTAAATAAGTAAAACAATTTATTTTCACAATTTTTTATAACCATTTTTTCGATATAGGAAAAATTAAATTTTCGATATAGGAAGCTTCAAGAAAGAAATATAAATAATTGAATGTATATACATATATATATAATTACATAAAATATTAATAAATAATTTTAAGTTAATAATTGTGCTTAAATGTGTTTAATGTAAAGTTTGAATAAGTTAATATGTTAATATAAGTTAATATTACTAAATTTCTAAAGCCATATTAATATTCCACAATATTTAAAAAGAACTTCAAAGTAAATACTTAAAAATTTAGTTTTTGCAAAAAATCATGTCTGTACAAAAACGCAAAACTGTTATCAAAGAAAAATGTGAGTTGTGAATATATATATATATATATCTCACTATACTCTCTTGCGATACATTACTAACATATATATTATTTATTTATAGTGAGCGACGAGACGTTAGACAAATTTATTGACGCCAGAATTAGTCTCCATGAAATGTTTATCGAATATCGGTTCCGTCCTCGGAAATGCTGGGAGTTAATATAAAAACATATGCATTAACGATGAAATATAAATAATAATGTTTTATCTTATTTTATAGACTTGTTGGTGAGCAAAGTGGAATTCATGAACCCTGGATTACACTAAGAAATCGTTGGTATATGTTAATAGATAGATATAGAGTAAAAAGATTTCTTTTTAAATATAACAATATAGTAATGTATTATTCTTTAGCGTTTTAAAAAATTACCTACTGATGGTAGAAGATATTGGCCACTCTATGAGAAAATACATAGTTATTATAGTCAGCGCAATAACATCAATCTTAACCTCAATCTACCGGTCATTAAGAGTAAACAGAACAATCCAGTCTCCCTTAAAACTCCAACTGTCGATGTACCAATAGAGACATCGTCCACAAATTCAGAGCATTTAAGTTTTTCTGCAAATCGCGAAGCAACCACAGAAGCATTAAATAACTCAGAGCTAATAACAGAAAAGGAAGTAAGAAGAGCAACACGAGTCCTTACTAAGATTCTGAATAGTTCGTTCAGTTTTAACGTTTCTCTTTCAGATTCTGAGTAAAATCTTAATTAATTTTAATTACTCTATAGAGATTTTTAAGTTAACTTTTAAATTTAAGTTTTAATTTTATTTGGTACCTTTTAAATTAGTTTATTTATTATTTATTATTTTTATTTTTAAAGTATTTTTAAATTTTATTTTGTTTTTAATAACTGCAGTTATAATAATTTTAATAGTTAACATTTTTTTTTAGTTTTAGTTTTTGGACTAATTGAATACTTTGATAAAATACTACTTATCGTGTTTATACTACTTTCTTAACTGATACTTAAAAAGAACATTTTGAATTAAATTTATAATCTTAAACTTAATTATGGTTAATGACAAATAAATAATAAAAGTATTTACGAAACTTACTATATAACTCCTTGAATTATATTTGAATTGGTTACTAATTAAGCCATTAAACATAGCTGGCTTTTCTTCCTGCAACTTTCAACAGACATATGCTTATAGAAAATTAATTTCTTTAAGATTGATTTTAAGTAATTATTAAACTCAAAATGAAGAACAAATAGAAAATTATGAGAAAAAATTGCAGTCATTTAGTCATACTTTGTTTTAAAGATTGATGAGAAAATGCTTACATGTTCTATTTTCTAATGGACTGTGCAGATATAGTTCATAAAAAAAACTAAAAAATTCATCTATAATTCTTAATTTTAATTCAAATTTATTTTATAAAATGTCGGTGCCAGTTGAAATATTTCTGACTGTTTCCTCAGAGCAGAGGAAGATTCTTATATTCCTAATTATATAAGAATATATATATAAGAATTATAAGAATTATGTTCCTTATATTTCCTGATTTAAACAAATTTGTGTATTGAAATTGTTTAAAATAAATAATTAATAAAAATAATTCCAATTAAAATTATATGAATGCAATTTATTAAACAAAAACTACTTCAAATTCTGCAGAAATCAAAACAGAGCAAATGTCCCTTTACATCCCTTTAAATTTATATAAATAAAATTTATTTAAAATTATTCATTATTAATACATGTTTTATATATTTTTTATATTTTGGTTATCTAAGCCTTTACAAATTTTAAGCCCAAATCTATAACTTTCAATATTACCATTAGATATTCTATTAAGATATTCATAAAGGATATTATTATTAATAATAATTTGAGGTAATTTGCACTGTGCATATATATCTATTA